ACGATATCTTACCTTCCCTCACCTGTCAGTGTGATGTCTTCAAAGTTGAGGCGAGTGACTGGAACTCCATCCAACACCACCAGGAGGTCAACCACAGACTCATCTGATGTTTCAGACTTATAGAAGGAAAAATGCCTGAACGAGGAAAAAGTAACTTAATGAGAGTGATCATTAAAAGAGAAACCAAAGAGAAGCTTGTAGTGACTGAACCTGACTCTCTTCTTAGCGGAGGCTTTGAGGGGTGCAACAGACTCAGGTCCTTTCAGATAGAGGTCCTTTAGGGTGATTGAAGTCTCAGGGTACGACACATCATCCAGCATAGCTGATGCCAGGGACGTGTTTGTTAGAAAAGGACCATGGAGGCTAACGGTGACTCGACCCAGAGGCCAAATATCCCCTAAAGTACCAGAGTCATATCTGAGGGAAAGAGCAGAGGATAGGTTTAGTTTCTATGGTTTCTACTTCACATCCAAAGAGATAAATATGGTAATACATGGTCAGGTTGTTGGCCTCCACAGTGAGCTCTTCCAGTTGGGTGACTCCACACAGATCTCCTCTCCTCAGCTCCTTCAGAGTGGGACCTCCAAACAGCAGCCTCCTTAGTCTGACGAGTCCATGAAACAACGGTGGAGAACCCAGGCAGCTAGAGGAGAGCAGAAGGCTAGGTATGACTGGATGTTGGTGCTTGGTCTTCTCTCAGGCCACCTGAACCACTCACCTGTACAGGTTGTTGAGCAGGTTGAGTCTCTGCAGAGCTTCCAGCTTCCAGAACCACTGGTGGTTGAGAGCCTTCAGCTGGTTGTCAGACAGATCCAAGTCCTCCAGGCTCCACAGGGAGTCAAACGCCAAAGGATGGATCACAGCTAATCGGTTACCTGGACAACAGTGATGTCATCGGTCAGAGACATTTCATTTGCTGATTAATGAGGTCATGAATTCCATCTGCGTTACCGTGGAGATTCAGAACCTTCAGCCGTGAGTGACCAGTCAGGTCATTGTTGGTCACCACGGTGATGTTGTTAAAGGACAGATCAAGACTCAGAGCTTCGTCTGTTACCATGGGAACATGAGAGAATTCCCCGTAGGAGCAGTTACAGCTGAGATGGAGGTCACAGCGACTGCATGACGACCTTCTGTGGTCTGACCTCTGACCCGAGCACAGGGAGAGGATGAGGATGATGAAGCGGGTTGCTCGTCTCATCCTGTAGATCTTCACAAAGACAGGATCTGTGTTTCAGTCACACAGCAGAGTTTATTCAGCTCCAAAAAGGCAAGAAGTGAAACTCACGCATGGAGGAAGTTCAATGATCAACCAGATAGTCTGAACTTGTTATGACCTTTAATGGTTTGTTGTAGTGATAAATCATAGTTCTGTCTGAATGTCCAGATGTTCAGACTTTCTTTGTGTTTTAGCTCCTTTTTCAGACGCATGTTTCTATTTTTGTGTTTGAGACCTCTGTATGACTCAGACACACTCTGTTCCTTCTCTTTTTACTCCCGTCCCTCTGATGAGAACAGAGATGCTCTGTCCTCTACGTGTCCACTTCCTCTGACCGTTTTCAGAACACAGCACAAACCGCCTCACTTTATTCTCTTTTCTTCCTGTTGTTTTGGTAAATCAGAAAAAACAAACATTTTTATTTAACATTTATTATTATTGTTTATTAAAATCTTATTTTAAATGCTGACATGATCCAAATGAGAGGAGCTGAGGTGGCTCGGTCAGCTGTTCATCAGGAGGTAGAGCAGGTTGTCCACTGATCAGAAGGTTGCTGGTTTGATCCCAGTCCCGACCAGAGAATGCTTGGTTTTTTTGGGCCCCCCTTTTTTTTTAACTTGGGCCCCCCCACACATCTCTGGTCTCTGAGGAGATCTGAGGGACACCGCAGGTGGAAGAAGACTTCAGATGTGATATTTACATCTGGACTAAAATAACTGTGGGAGGAAAAATGTGTTTGCAGAGACGTTCACAAAACGTTTTTGACCATTTTACGTTTAGTCTGTTTTTAATGATTTGAAAACAAAAATGAGTTTAAAGTCACTCCGACATGGAACTGGGAGCCAGAGGCCAAACTGGAGCGACGTTTCCTTTGCGTCTGTCAGAAAACGAGCAGCGGCCCGAAAGCGTGAGACGACTGATTTACCCTGGATGTCAGAGCTCTGCAGCGGTCACGTCTACAGCTGAGAAGATCAGGGAACCAGCTGCACTCGGTGGATTTCACAACCCTGTCTGTCTAAATTCAGACTATCAAACACGACTCCTGGATATGATTATTATTATTATTATTATTATTATTATTATTACTACTACTACTATTATTATTAGAACATCGGTGAAGATTGAGGAAAGATCCTGTTAGGCTCAGAGATTAGATCATTTCATAAGAGAGACTTTTTCTAATCTTTCAAGCTTTTTTTCTGTCCACCAGCAGAACTCGTGTCTTCATGTTTTATTTGATAAATCTGCTCCGTCTTACCTGAGCCGGTCCTGATGAAGAGGAGACACAAACACAGGAAGAGACGAGAGAGAAGAGGAAGTTAAAGTTGACATCTGCGTGAAACGTGCTCGTGAGATTGAAAGCGACCTCCTGGGAGCAAATGTTGATTCATTATTTCTGTATTAATAATTAATTCTCTGCTAAATAAAACCTGCAAGGACGTGAGTTTGGTGGTGAAGACCGGATCCTGTGTGATGAAAAGCTTCTGACACGTTTGTGCTATAATTGTGGTGTTCGAGCCCTCTGCTGGAGCGTGACGCAGGAGGAAACCAGCTGTTGGTGGTTTCTGATCTGGGATCAGCCCGTCGCCTCCAGAGACCATCAGGCTGTTACAGAAGAACGCTGCTTTGTGCCTCACGCCCACGCCGTCTACAGGGAGGAGGGTAGGTTCGAGTCCCGCTCAGTCTGTCACTGTGACTGTGTCCAGCTGCTATAGAGGCTCATCACCACTGTGTGTGTGTGTGTGTGTGTGTGTGTGTGTGTGTGTGTGTGTGTGTGTGTGTGCATGCGTGAATGACAGGATGTGTTGTGAAGCACCTTTGGGGGGTTGTAGAACCCTAGAAGGTGCTGTATCAAATACATAATGTCTTATCAGACGATAACCATGGTTACAGATGTCTTTTATAAAAATATGATGTAATGAATCTAATAAACAATAAGACACACAGTTCCATTCAATTCTACTGGTGACACACACACACACACACACACACACACACTGTTTATATTTATTGAGCATTTTGCAATAGATATTTTCTTTTCTTTCAAACAATAGTTATGTAATTAAAAGCGTGAATAAGCATCGCAGGGCACTGACCAAATGTATTACCCACAATCCATTGCTGCGGGAGAAAAAGCTCAAGTTCCTTTTCAGAACATGTGTACTTTCTAAGGAAAGTAGTTAATTTTAGGATGATTAGTTGATGCTCTAAAAATTTTAGACAAAGTAGAAACGAATGTAAAATTATTTCTAATAGTTGTTCGTTTGAAAGTTGTTAAAGTTTTTTACTTAAAGCATCCCAGCGACCAGCATCCCGGCATGCATTATGATGGATAACACGGTGCTCCCTGTCTCAGTTCGGCCATTATTTGCACGCTTGTGTACCACACACTCGAAGCCTTACAGCGCGGTTTCTCCAGATGCACCTGGCTGAAGACCGAAGGGCGCAGTGCTGGGGCTGGGCCTGAGTTTCTTGTGTGTCTGCTTCCTGCGTTCAACACTCGGGGCGACGGTGGCACAGGAGTTGAGTGCTCACCCCGTAATCGGAAGGTTGCAGGTTCGAGCCCCGCTCAGTCTGTCGCTGTCGTTGTGTCCTTGGGCAAGACGCTTAACCCACCCTGCCTGCTGGTGGTGGTCGGAGGGACCGGTGGCGCCAGTGCTCGGCAGCCTCGCCTCTGTCAGTGCGCCCCAGGGCAGCTGTGGCTACATTGTAGCTCATCACCACCAGTGTGTGAATGTGTGTGTGAATGGGTGAATGACTGGTTGTGTTGTAAAGCGCCTTGGGGGGTTCCAGGACTCTAGAAGGCGCTATATCAAATACAGGCCATTTACCATTTACTCCAACCAACTCCTGTGGGACACACCGCCAGCCTAAGCGGGACTTGTCCCCGTGGCGCTCAGCCCAGCTAATCTACCCAACCGGGCGGCCGGTACAGAGCGTTGCACGCGTCTGCGTTGTAACCTGCATTAGTTCTGTCTGGTTCTCCTGAGTTTTTTCTCCTGAGTGTCACATGACAGAGACTTAAACCCGCTACAGCTGCCTCCTGGTGCGCTCTTACCTGCTTTGGAGCCACACTCACCTCAGCATGACACACCACTTTCCAGCTACGTGAGCATCCCAAAGTGCAAAAGGATTGGCATAAAAAAACTGTTCAGTAAAATAAAACAGATAAAACCACAAACCTGCCATAAAAGGCAGTTCATTTAAGTGTCTTACACCTGTACACAGCCCCTGAGAGCACATCTTCTATCATCTCGTGCATCAGGGGTCTCCATCACGTTGGAGATACGCTTCTTTAATTTTGATTCAAATATGTGATTTTCTACATTACTGAAATTGGGATTTTCATTAGATGTCACTTATAATCCAAATTAAGGACATGTTTTAAATATACCAGTCTGTGTGTAATGAATTAATCTAAAACACAAATCTAACGTTTTGAATGGAATTATTGGTATAAATCAACTTGTCATATTCTAATGTTATGAACACAGCAGATGAAATTCCCACATTGTAGAAATGCAACGAGAGCCAGACTAAATCGGGCCCGCCTTTGGGGCTCCTTAACTTTGGGACAAAACATCTAAAAGAGATTTGTGCCAGAATTTTCTCAGTTTAACACAAAAGATTTAAAGCAATGTTTTTTTTTTCACTGAAATCCGCTCTGATCTTCTCTATAACAAACAAATCAAGCCATTCTCTATTTGTAATCAGTCTTCTACATCAATGCTTGTATTCGTACTTATCGTAGGAATTTTGATTGGAATAGTTTAAGAATCCGTCGTCTCATTCGTCCTGCTAAAAACAGGATAAAACTTCCCAGCTGTGCAACATTTATGTTCTTCAACCTTTTGTTTCCTGCAGCAGAGCTGGGTTACACGGTTCTGATCACCAGGAGTTTAATCTGTCGTCACTCACCGCTCACGTTTGTTGCTTTGTTCACACGAAACTTTAGATCTTCAGCAGCAGGTTTACACAAAACCTAGAACTGGTTCACACTTGGACCGGGAACGGTGATGACTCAGCTAATTCTTTTCAGCTTCATACCCAGATTTACATGTTGTGTACAGTAATGCTGAACAATCCTCTTTTGCCTCAGGGATTAACACTGCCGCCCCCCAGAAGTATCTGTTCTGGGAATAATAATTTGACATTTTCCTGATGGTTTGATTTTAATCTCGGCACGTCCTCTAGAGTTTTTGTTCCCAAGAAGAAGAAGAAGAAGAAGAAGAAGAAGATATCATTTCTATAGTGCCTCTCAGGATAAAAATCACGAGGCGCTTCACAAAAGCAAAACATGTAAAAATATAAAAAAGCATTCAGAAAATGTTCAAAAAATATATTTAAAATGAGCAAAAATAGACAATTGTGATTAAAAAAATGTTAAGAAAGAGAGAGAGTGAACAGGAAAGAGGGAAATGAGTGGATCCTGAGGAAGGAGGAATAGGTGGGGAGAGCAGAATAAAGAGAGAGAGGTGAAGAAGGTCATACAAAAGCCAGCTTGAACAAGTGAGTCTTCAGCTGTTTTTTAAAGGAGACCACTGAGTCCACTGATCTCAGGCTCAGGGGGAGAGAGGTCCAGAGTCTGGGGGCCACAGCAGCAAATGATCTGTCACCTTTGGTCTTTAGTCTGGTGCTGCACAACCAGTAGGGTTTGATCACTGGACCTCAGGGACCTGCTGGGGGTGTAGGGACTAAGAAGATCACCAATGTAAAATGGTGCTGGTCCATGTAAGGCCCTATAGACTAGAACCAGGATCTTGATCCCCAAGTGACCTTATCAAATATCCTCAGCACTTTCTGTTGGTGATTTCATTAGGTCTTGAGTTTTGGGTCAAAAGTTTCAAAAGTCAGTCATGAAACAAACTCTGCTGCATTTCCATCCATGTAAACATATTTTTTCTGAAGAGTTTTCAGAAAGCTGAGATCAGTTTAATAAGTTTAGTTCTAACGTGATCTTTCTGCATCGTGGAGACCAGCGAGTCGTCCAGACCACCATGACCTCTACTCTTCGCTTCCAGTTGTTCAGGTCCAGGACCGTTTTTACATAAAGTACAGAACACGAGGTCACAGACCTCTCACTGGTTATTCTGTTCCAGCAGAGCAACCTTCCTGTGCCCTTTTTGGTTTTGACACAGTTTCGTTGACTGCACTAGAAAAGGTAGTTCACGGCACAAAGCCCTCAAGCTCCTGCTACTTGATGTTTCCGCAGTGTTCGACACACTGTTTTAACCATTTGCCTCGAGACCTGGATCAGGGAGAAAGGCCCTTGATTGGTAGACCTAAATAATAGGTCTTTTAGTGTTTGCCTGGACGACTCCTCCTCTCCCCCCTCCTGGGGGGTCTCCCTGCTGCTGTGGCCCCCAGACTCTGGAACTCTCCCCCTGAACCTGAGATCAGTGGTATCTTTCATGAAGCAGCTGAAAACTAACTTGTTCAAGCTGGCTTTTGCGTAACCTTCATCACCGCCCTCTCCTTATTCTGCTCTTTCTACTTATTCTGCCTTTCCCCACAATCCACTGATTTCCCTCTTTCCTATTTATTCTCTCTCTCCCTTTCCTTACATTGTTATTTTTTATCTCAGTTATGTTTCTCTCAGGGCTGCACAGTGGTGCAGTGGTTAGAGCTGTTGCCTTGCAGCAAGAAGGTCCTGGGTTCACTTCCCGGCCTGGGATCTTTCTGCATGGAGTTTGCATGTTCTCCCTGTGCATGTGTGGGTTCTCTCCGGGTGCTCCGGCTGCCTCCCACAGTCCAAAAACCTGACTGTTGGGTTGATTGGTCTGTCCAAATTGTCCCTAGGTGTGTGTGTGTGTGTGTGTGTGTGTGTGTGTGTGTGTGTGTGTGTGTGATTGTTTGTCCTGTGTGTCTCTGTGTTGCCCTGCGATGGACTGGCTCTCTGTCCAGGGTGTACCCCGCCTGATTGCCCATTGACCGCTGGAGATAGGCATCAGCCCCCCACCCCCCGCGACCCCACGTGGACAAAGCGGGTTCAGAAAATAGATGGATGTTTCTCTCATTTTGGACATATTTTATATATCTATATCTATAGATATAGATATGTGAGCCTGCAACTCTGAGCCTGAGTTGCAGGCTCAGTCTGTCGCTGTTGTCGTGTCCTTGTGCAAGACACTTAACCCCCCTTGCCTGCTGGTGGTGGTCAGAGGGACCGGTGGCGCCTGTGTATGGCAGATTTGCCTCCGTTAGTGTGCCCCAGGGCAACTGTGGCTACAGTGTAATTTATCTCCACCAGGGTGTGAATGTGTGTGTGAATGGGTGAATGACTGATTATTGTGTTATAAAGTACCTTGGGGGGTTTTCCTGACTCTAGAAGGCACTACATCAAAAACAGCCCATTTACCATTTCATAAATTGTCCATCCATTGTCTGAACCCGCTTTGTCCACGTGGTGGACAAAGTGAGTGGTGGCTGGTTCGTAAATACAGACATTTGTATGACTCAGCTCTCAAAGATCA